GGGTGCGGCGCTGCGCCCTGGCTGCGGGGCCACCAGCGGCCCTTCCCGAGCCCCGGGGTCGGCGCTGCCGGCGGCCAAGCGAGGACAGCCAGTCCCCTGAGCACTCCCCCCCTTCTCCCTCGGGATAAAACGTTTAACCGACAAGCTCGTGATGCAAGTTAATGATTTCGTTTTCAACTCCCAAACAGTGCTTCTGGTGGGGAGGTTGACTCATCAGAAGATCACGTCGTTGGCCGGCTCCCTAAGCCACGTGGCGGGGCCGGTTTTGAGATGAGCAAATTAGCGTAGAGGTTTGACCCCAGAGCCCAGGCCAGTATTCAAAAGTGATGTAAGGGAGCCAGCCTCCCACGTCTGGGGGGCACTGCGTGCCTTCTGAGTGGGCAGTAGATTCAATGAAGGGCCTCCCATATTCCTCATATCTTAGACCATGCCCCTAGATTCCTGTTTAGCTTCCCTGCTACCATTTTTCAACAGGCAGGCAGCTCTTTGTCTGTTGGACTCCTGCGTCTCTTAACTGAAGGTCCCATCCAGAATCAGTGCAGTAAAAGATCGAGTAATCATTGGACATTGAAAACTGCACTGTAATGCAAACCTATTAATTGCCTGGCATGGTGACCGGTTAATAAAGTTGAACTCAAAGGGCATTGGGGGTAGGACATGGTCTGATCTTGACTGGCATGGTTTTCGATGGGGAAAATGGCACTTGCCTCACAGTTGGCCCAAGATTTCACTGACTTTGTGTATGCTCTTTGGGTATCATTTGAAATGTGTCAACCTAAGGGTCCTACGGATAAAAACATGTGGGTATGCTTATTTAACGAGACGACGTATTTCAGGGTATAGCAGAGGCTTGGATATCGTACAAATATTTGTTTTGATTGCCTTCCTTAGAACTTACCACACACCGTTTTCCTGGTTGGCCACAAATGAGACTTTAACTTACATTTCTTATCAGGTAGAGATCTTTTTAATTTGACTGTGTACCTCATGTTCTCTTACCAGTATTAGTTCTGAAACTGATGACTGAATTGACTGTGGAGATAGGCATTCATACTTAGAGCATTACCGTGAGCAAAGTTCCTTCCAGGTTGCTATAGGGTAGAACACATTCTTGTAAATCAGGAAACCCAGAGCCTGCACTTCTTCACTTCATGTGTTACATGTGGAATTCTGCTCAAAACCATCAAGCAGTAAGTTGAAGTAGTACATCTCTCATCTTTACTTTTGGTTGTTTGACACTTAGGTAATGAAAACAGAAAACGGCCTGCTGTTTGTGCTCAGGCTTAGTTGGATGCAAGTCCATTTCTTTTAAATGACTTTGAAATTTTTATATTAATGAGGAGATTTAACCTAGTCCAAAGGAAACACATTCATTCCAAAACCAAATCATACCGAGTGTTTCAGGGGGGGTGAATGCAGGGCTTTTGGGAACTAATCTCATGAAAATTAATCGTATTTGTTCGACACTGCAGAGTTAATAAATTGTAGTGATGTCTGACAACTCATACTTCAAAGAGAAAATATATTTGTAAATATTAGTAACATAACTAGTGATTAGTTGCATAGATGACCATCGAAGAGGGTTTCTCTTAGCTCCATATAAGCAGAAAAACTTCATAATATATATATGGCTTTATGCTACATTATTTCCTTGATGTGTGCTGTTGTTTTTCCTATAGATGACCATATTAAATCTTCCTGTATATAGCCCTATGCAAATGTTTTCAGCGCAGCTGTTTAGCAGTCATGTCCGATGTGGAATGAGAAACTAGTAGAGGGGGTGGTAATATCCTTCATGCCTTGCATTCACCTAAAGGAATAGCCTTTTCTAAGACAGAATACTACCAAGGTCATAAGTGAAAAATCCCTTGGGACCTATTTAACTTGATACAAATAAATTTGATCCAGAGCCTCAGATTGCACTAGGCCAGGCCCTGTCACATAGGAATTTCATTGACTTCAAGAAGTTAACTAGTTGTAGCTGTTTTCATTCAAAGCCCTTTCCAACGATAAAAGTCTGAAATTTGGCTTATCACTAGTTCAATGAAAAGAATTCAAACAGCAGAGTAACATAGTAGCATGTCATTAATATAAAACTGATTTAAACGTTTAAAATACTTTTTTTTTTTCAAATCTGAGGGGTTCTGAAAAGGCTCCATGCAGCTAGGTACATCATAACAATCACTCTGCCATGTAAAAATGTATCAGTGTCTACATCAGTAAAGCAATCTTCCATGAATATTTAAAAATGCCAGCCCCTGTATATTTTTACTTCTCCCATAAATGTTTATTGGTGGTGAAAATAGTTATTATAATCATAGCAATGTATGGTTAGGAAAAGGTGATATTGACAGGCCAGTTATGAACAAGATGAAGACTGGAAAAATTCCTACCCCTAGAAATGGTTAAGAGTTTGTGCCCTACTCTTAAAGGCATACCTCCCAAAGTGTGAAGATTGTTCTGTGTGTATCCACATTTTCACTCGTATGTAGTTATTATCATTAGATATGTAATATAAAAATTGACTTCTGGGCCACTGAGTAGTAAATTTCTCCTTATGTTTTCTTGCACCCTAAATGACCTCTATAAAATGATCACTATTAGCCATGTATAGGCATGCCAATGTATCGTTTTCATCAATAGGATAGTTTCACAATTAATTTTTACAGAGTTCTAAATTCTACAAGGAGTAGTTGCATGTGATGCTTTGAGTTGCTTTAAATTGGAAGTACGTGTTTAAAAAAGAATGCAGACCAAATACCAAACCATAAGCCTCCAATTACAGAATTCATCCAACAGCTGTTCAACAAGCAGTGTTTCCATTGATAGTAGGAGAGGATTGCCTGCATAATAAACACAGATTTAGACTTTCTGATTGAGCAAATATCATGTTACTTTTTAATTATATTTTTGAGATTTCTAAAAAATTAAAAGGATATATATAAAGAAATAAATGCAGATGCTGAAAGGGCTATGCCACAAACAGGTGGCTTTTAGATTCTTTCTCTAAGTCTGGATTTGCATCTATAAAGTACCAAGAAAACAGTCTTGAACAATGAACCATTTCAGCTATTAATGTTCTAATGGCATAAATACAGTCATACGTGTCTGTGTCTGTCACCATCGTCCTTATTTCTTGCACCCCTGCTATTACCGTGACACATGGTGTGCTTGACTGACACTATTGACTGAATGGAGTAGCACAGCTGATTCCTTTGATGTACTAGAAAATTCAATGAGTTTTCTCCTCACTCCAATCTCTGTCTCCTCACCACTATCAGCTATCAGGAATGTGTCTCCTTGAGTTGACCCAAGGTAATCTTAGAAATTAGGAATTAGCACTGCAGTAGTGCTTTATAAATTACTTTCACATTCAGAGACCCACTTAATCCTCACAAAGTCATTGTAAATTAGATGTTATTGCAATTTTCAAGTTAAGATAAGGAGTTGGTGGCCTAGAAAGAGAATATTGTCCAAGGTCATACAGGCTAGCAAGTGATTGAATCACCCACATGTCCATATCACCTGATATTCCAAGGTCTTCTTATTACAAAACAAAAGCTCTTTCCATTATGTGTATGAGCCTTCTGTGAAACTAAAATTACAATCTTGGGAGTCACAAGTATACAGATGCAGAAGAATCGGCAACACATCCTGTCTCTATTGTCTAAACACAGTGGGAAGGGATGGGCTAAATTGGAACAGAGCTTTGATGAGAATTTTTTTTTTCTTTAAATACCGCAAAGGCCTTTTCTTTCTCTTTTTTTTTTTAATCTAGGTAACATTGGTTTATATTGGCTTATGAGGGTTTATGTTAGTATTAACATTACGTAAGTTTAAGTTACAACATTGTAACTTAACATCTGTGTGCACTATAGCATGTGCACTACCAAAGGTCTAGTTTCCATTTGTCACCGTACAATTGACCCCTTTTACCCATTTCACTCGACCTTCACCACGTCCCTTCTGGAAACCACCAGTATGTTGTCTGCATCTATGAGTTTGTTTTTATTTTGTTTTGTTTGTTTGTTTTGGTTTTCTTCTTTCCACATGTGAGTAAAATCATGTGGTATTTTTCTTTCTCTATCTGACTTATTTCACTTAGCAGAATACCTTCAGGATCCATCCATATCACAAATGGCAAGATTTCGTCATTTTTAAGGCTGAGTAGTATTCCATTGTGTGTGTGTATGTGTGTGTGTGTGTGTGTATCGTAATCACACCTTCTTTATCTGTTCATCTATGGATAGACATTTAGGCTGTTTTGTTACCTTCTCTATTTTAAATAATGCTGCTATGAACATAGGGATGCATATATCTTTTCAAATTAGTGTCTTAATATTCATTGGATAAATAACCAGAAGTAGAATAGCTGGATCATATGGTAGCTCTATTTTTAATTTTTGAAGAATCTTCACACTGTTTTCCATAGTGGCTACACCAATTTACAATCCCATCAACAGTGAACAAGGGGTCCCTTTTCACAGAATCTTCTCCAACACGTTATTTCTTGTCTTTTTGATAATAGCCATTCTGACAAGAATGAGATGGTATCTCATTTGGTTTTGATATTCATTTCCATAAAAATTAGTAATGCTCAACATGTTTTCGTATGTCTGTTGGCCATCTGTATGTCTTCTTTAAAATGTCTATGCCAGATGCTCTGACCGTTTTTTAATTGGGTTGTTTGTTTGTTTTTTGTTGTTGAATTGTATGAGTTCTTCATATATTTTAGATATCAACACTTTATCGGATGTATAATTTGCAAATACCTTCATCATTGTGTAAGTTGCCTTTTTGCTTTATTGATAGTTTCCTTTGCCACCAAAGGCTTTTTTTTATATGAATTTGGCTATATTTCAAAAAGAATAAGTGTAAATGACTGTCCTTATTAAATCTTATTTACTTAATCTTTACAATACTTTTTATCATGGTCATTTAACTCTTCCTCTAACATTTAGAAAAAGTTGTGTCTATAATTTGTCACTAGTAATCTAAATCAAATTATGTATTATGCAACTTAGACAAAATGCTTCTTACTTTCATGAAGCTGACATGTTTATTTTGTTTCAGAGATGGTGAACTGTGTTTGAGTCGATCCCTTGTCAATAGTTCTGATAAAATCATTAGAAAGGCTGGCTCTTCAATCTTCCAGCACTCTGTAGAAGGTTGGAAAATCAATTCCTCTTTGGTCCTGGAGATAAGGTGAGTTTCTTTAATAAGGCAGGATACATTTCACATCATGTTCTTGAATATGTTGGGCTTGGCAAACTTATATCAAATGTTTAATTTATAGTTTAAGTATGGATACTTTAATAGAAGAGTGAACTGAATCAGTTCTACTAAATGTTTCTCACTGAAGAATATGAAACCATAAAACTGAAATCATTATACAGTCAGACACTTAAGGATGAATATGTGAGTTTGAATATACTGTCTTTATAGTAATGGAATATGATATTTAAGTGAGTACTAATATTTAACATATTTTTCTTCACTCAATTACTCAGGATAGCCATATATTTTGTGAATTATTTTTAACTTCCCTATTAAGTCTTCAGACTGATTTTGCATTTTCTCACACTAGACATAAGTAGAACCTATTCAACTCCTGTTTTGCTGACAATTATAACTAAATATGACTTACTCTATCAATGGGTATTTCTATGTGAGCTCCTGTAATAAAAGCCTCAACAATTATGTCCTAAATAGGTGAAAATCAGAAAATAAGCTCTCTAGAATACTGGTTTATTCTTTGTAACATTTTAGCTGAAACAAGCTCTTGAAAATAAACTTGGTGCCTACATATACCCATTATATCTTATTTTCTCAGTTATAATCCTATTACTAATATGAAAGGTAAGGCTAGACCTACCTAATTATGAGGGAAGCAAGCAGATAATTTTTCTCCATAGTTAAGTTGCTGTGTTGGTCAGTAGGTTTTAATAAGAGCATTTTAGTAAATCGGAACCCATTTTAAAAGTTCAGGAGAATGACCATCCTGTACATAATAAAATCATCGAATATTTCTAGTATTGAAAAATGCTAATTATTCAATTATTGAGTATAATAAAAGGATAAGCTACTGATTTGTTTGGGTTTCTACCTACTCACTTTTGGGATCATACCCATATATAATGTAGATTATAAAAAATTAAAGGAAGAATTTACTACACTCATCTTTAGAGTATGCATAGCAATTCGTAGAATTAATGACAGCAGAGGCACTCACCCCATGTTGAAATATACTTGAAAGAATGTCTGGAAATTAAAGAGAGGAGTCTGGCATATGTGGGAATGGTTAGAATACATTGTTTTAAAGCTTTGGCAGTGACTGGAAAGGGAAACCAGGATCAGATCACAACAATGTCAAGTGGTGTTATGTTTGGTTGCTTTTAATTCAGGGAGAACATTGCATACTTGTAGGTGGGGTACAAGGACATGAAGATCAGTATGGCCTGATGACAGAGTTTAAAAATTGGTATCTTTTGGGTAGAATGTGGTCAGCAAGCAAGATTTATTTCAACTGGATAAAAATAAAATAAAACCTTAAGGTCAATATTAAAAATTGGGAAATTCCTTACAAAAGTAAAGATTTTCATTACCCCTGAAAATGAAACATTTTGACAACTCTGGGTTCCACTTAAGAACTCTTTGGGTGAGCCAGCTCTGGGCATGGTCTCTCCAGTCTGACATTGTTAGCCCTGGCCCTCTTCTCTCATGACACCTACCTAGCACCTTGCTCACTGTCCCAAACCTTTATGCCCACATTTGAATTTAGCAACCCTATACAAGATGAGATAATTATAAGAAAAATAGCTACAGGATGTGAGACTCGGCAGGGTCATAAATACAGGAGTGGTTTAGTTTAGAACAGAGAGTAAAGATTCTTATTTCTTGGAGGTGGATTAAAAAGAAAGATATGTAGGTCATTATAAAAAGAAATATTTACAGCATTATTTACAGTGGCCAAAACTTGGAAACAACTGAAGTGCCCCTCAATAGATGATTGGACAAAGAAGATGTGATACATATATACAATGGAAGGTTACTCAGCCGTAAGAAAAGGCGAGATAGTCATGTGCAGCAACGTGGATGGATCCTGAGGATATCATGCTAAGTGAAATAAGTCAGTCAGAAAAAGTCAAGATCCATGTGATTTCACTCATGTGTGGGAGATAAAACTGAAAGCAACAAATGAACAAATAAGACAAACAAAAGAAAACGGAAAGACAGAGACAATAGCATGGTGGTTACCAGAGGGAAAGGGGTGGGGGAGGGTAGAAAAGGGCAAAGGGGCCAAGTACATGGTGACTGATGGAAGCAGATTTGACTTTGGGTGGTGAACACACGATGCAATATCACAGAATTGTACACTTAAACCTATATAACTTTATTAACCAGTGTCGCCCCAATAAATTTAATAAATAAATACATAAAAAGGAAATTTTGATCTATAAGGATGTCTCGAAAGAGACCTTTAAAATTGAATGATTTTGCAAGAAGGGAGACGTTTAGGTAAGGCTGTACAGGTCAGGTAAAGGAAGGTAATGGAAGAAAGCAAAGTAAAATAAGAAATTGTAATAGTTTAATATATCTAGACATGCTAAATAATATATCACTAAAGTAAAATCTAATGAGTGAATTAAATAAGTAATTGGCAATACTTTAATTAGTGTATCTGGCCATGCCTTCCTAGTATCTGCACAAAAATGAAAGTGTAGATGTTCATGAGGCTACAGAGGTATATTTTGCTGTTATTAAGATAGTCAAGCTTGCCCGGCCGGGCGTGGCTCAGCGGTTGAGTGTCGACCTGGGATCCAGGCGGTCGGGGTTCGATTCCCGGTCAGGGCACATGCCCGGGTTGTGGGCTCGATCAATGACTCTCATCATTGATGTTTCTGCCTCTCTCTCTCCCTCTCCTTTCCTCTTTCTGAAATCAATAAAGATATACTTTAAAAAAAAAAAAAAAAAAGATAGTCAAGCTAAATGTATTAGACATAAATTGGCCCAGGTAGTTCATTATTGTAACTTTAAAAATTAATGAGGGTTGCATTCATATCTTTGAGGGTAATCTGCTTTCAATTACAGCAGCTGATAATGTGTGTAAAACATTAGTATTTTTTTATATGGTTCTCCTTAACAAATAAAGAAGTAAACAATAAAACAGTGAGCAAATATTGAATAATACATACAAAGTTGTCATTTCCTTACAAGGAAATAATAATTTGTAAAACCATTATTGCACAACATGCAAACAGTTCATTAAAATTATAATTGCCCATAGCAGTAGTGACTAGTGATTATTAATCAGTTTGAAACTTGAAATAAAAAATTAAAGTACAAAAATGTCTTATTAGCTGACTTTTGTTCTGAAGTCATACTGAAAACTAATTGTAAAGTATTTTGGATGAATTTTTTTCTTTGTTCTCCCCCNCCCCCCCCCCCCCCCCCTGCATCTGTAGCATTTATGAAGAACCATATTACTTTGTGTTTGTGAGTGGGTGTGGGCATATTTTACAAGTGTTTTCCAAATTCTTCTCTGAATCTTTTTTATTATGTTTTTATTGATATTAGAGAGGAAGGGAAAGAGCTATAAAGATGGAAACATCAATAGGCTGCCTCTGCTCAAGCCTACTGGGGATCATGCCCCAAACCGGGCTTGTGCCCTGACGGGTACTGGATCCAGTGACCCCCTGGTTCATGGGTCAATGCTCAACCACTAAGCAACACCGGCCTGACTTGTCTGAAGTTTTTGATTAAGACATCATGACTGATAATATTTTATCTTACATGACTGAGCCATGCTTCCAGACCTTTTTCATTTAAAAAATTGTATTAAACTTAAAATGCTCTTGTGACATTCCCAAGAAATTATCTATTTATATTAAAATAAAAAAAAACAGTCACTGAAAATAAACTGTTTTTCCTTACTTTTATAGACATGATTTTCTTTTTATTACTAAATCTTTCAGCCCTATATGGACTCCACTACTTTCATAAGTATATCAAGAATGGATTTATATATATTCATCTAACAACTATACCTGTGGGGAGTTGCAAAAGAGATGGTTTCATGTACTTATTCATTGTACTTTGAAGATTCTTCATGATTTAGGGAGTATATTCGTTCCACAGCTAACTTTATAATTAACATAATTAGCTTGGTTAAATGGTGGATTTTATTGATACTAGTTTGTTCTTTATTATTGTAAGCTAAGAAATGACACATTTAGGATGTGAGTAAATCTGTGAACATTGTACTGAGATATCATTTGGTCATGTTCAACACTTGTGATTTGACTTTGTTTTTTCCATCGTTAAATTCTTTTCTTTCTTTCTTTTTTCTTCTTATTTTTCATATGTTGAATAGAAACTTAAAGAATTACAACACCAAATATGGATGTATAGAAATGTACAAGCTCATGTGCTCATCAGGACAGATTAAGCACATCATAATTAGTAAAAAAAAAAAATATTTTCAGCTCTCAGTATTACCATATTTCAAAGTTCCTAAACAGAAAATGCTGGCAGGTCAACTAAATATAACTGCAAATTTATAAGTACTTACAATGAATTTGCTGTTGCCTTCATGATTTACTTTAGAACAAGGTCCCCAAATAGTTCTACTTACTTTGTTCAGTAAGTGACCTTAGAACCCATTTTGGATCATACAGCTTCATAGTGGCAGAGTCAAGCTTCAAAGCCAGGCCTATCTAATTGGAAAACAATATTTTAGTACTAAAATGTATACTATTAAATGCATCTTTAGGAAGTACACAATAGGTTTTATGCACTAAAGTAATGAAATAATACAAGATAATATGAATCCAATATTACCAAATGCTGGATCAAATATTAAATGGCCATCTGAGGTGTAAATTAAACTAAAAAATGCCTTCCTTTAAGGATTTTGAGACAATTTTGCCTGTTTGTTTGGTGGTTTTTAGGATTTTTCTTTTGATGCCATAGAGGCCACTACATTCAGAAGCCTGAACAAGCTCAGGTTACGTGCATTCAGAACTCTGAGGCAGGTTGCTCATGGAAATAACCTTTTGAGAGAGAAAAAAATTGTGTGTTCTCTCTGCTTCTCATAGGCATAATGAAACACTTGGCACTTCTTGAACTAGTTTTTTCTTTTTAGTAAACCATGTACATAACAACTGAATTGACTTAGTGATTTTTGTCTGGAGTTAAAAGTTTGC